ATACCAAATATAGTTATCCTATTACTCATAATAAGAGAGAAATTAAGAGTACTAAAAATCTTAACTTTTTTTTCAAGTAGTCACTGAACCATGAAAATGAGGTCAAGGACAATGGACATATGACAGACAGAAACTTCGTAACATAAGGCATCTAAATATAAAGTATGAAGGATCCAGGTCTTCTACCTTCTGAAATATTAGGCTTTTAAGAAGTAAGCTAACGTCGCCGCCGGATCACTATCCCTATGTCGAGCTTTCTGCAACAGAAGTCGCAGGCTCAACAAAAATGAAAAGTGTGCATAATATATGATTCCTAGGTTAAAATAATTAATAAGGCATCAGCCATTCTTCATTTGTGTGTAAGGAAAAAAAGAGGGGGGGGATTCTAAAATTATTTGATTCCTAATGGCCTGAAATAAAATGTACATTAGTTCATGTTTATATTGTAAATTTGAAAATTAATTAAAACAACACTGATTAAATTAAATAGAATTTATTAATTCTTAAAAATCCATTTATTTTTACAAAATATCTGGAACTATTGATGCTTTGTGGACTATTTCTTGTTCTTGCAGGGGGAAACTGCGGCAATTGATTAAAAGATCTGTCCGGATAACTTTACACAGTTTCATGTAGAACTAGCTGTAATTCAGCGTTTATAGTTGGTAGTCCTGATACAGAAAGGAAGAGAAGTTTACATATCTATATAAACAGTCGGGTTCAAACATAGTAGGAAACCTGGTTGACCATGGAAGGAAAAAGATCAATTTCTAGCAAGTTCTAGATCAATTTTTGAAGAGTTTTACTTCTAGAACAAGTTCAAGAAAATTCTTGAATTAACTGAAAATAGTTCTTGAATTAGTTCAAAACAGTTCTTGAATTAGTTCAAAAGAGTTCTTAAATTAGTTCAAAATAGTTCTTGAACGGCCATTTAATGTTCATGAACTGTTCATGAACATTTCAAGAACTAGGTCCTAATACAGTTCTTGAACATTTTAAGAACAGTTCTTGAATTCCTTGCAGGGGTGTGACTTCCCCCTGGTTGATGATGATGCTGATGAATGACATGAAAATATAACTTTTATGAAGGGAGTTTGCCACATTTGTTTCTACCACATGGGGATACAGGTCAGACAACAGTATATAAGAGCCAAATAAAGAGTCTGTTGATAGTTTCTCACTTGTTTCCAAATGAGATCTTGCAATTTATCTTACAATAAATTACAATAATGCTAATAAACAAATTCTAGAATAAGTCCCAATGGTTAATGAAAGCATTTCTTGGATTAGGTTTTCTTATGGGTATTAAAATGTCAAACCAGATTGAAAATCCAACTGGACTACAGATATTATTCTTATGACCCTTTACTTTGGAACTCTTCCTGCAAATCATGAGATAAATTCATTGTGAGCAAGCCCCACAGCCAGGGACTCTTTGCACAAAATATCTTATGAGAAACAAATATTAATAAGTCATGAACAGTTCAGTATAACATGTATAACTTACGATCAATTTTTATTGTAAGAATTATTGAGAAAAGAGTCCCAGGTGAACCACATTAAATGGCTTTGTACTAAATTAATATGTTTAGTTATTCAATGATTAATGATGCAGTACATTCCTAACAGACAATTATCGGTTGACAAGGTGATGGTTCCTTTCAAAGGATGACTGTCTTTCAAGCAGTTCATGCTAGCCTGAAACCTACTAACTGGGGCATCAAAATGTAGGCGATAGCTGAGGCTGACATTGTGTATGTTGCATTCTGTTAGGTGTACAATGGGAAGAATAATGGGACAGCACATTGTCTAGCAAACTGTGTAGTACAAAAATGTCTAGCAAACTGTGTAGTACAAAAATGTATAGAAAAGGCTAATGTCACAAGGCAATGGTACCACGTCTATATGAACAATTACTTCACTTCTCTCACATCATTTACAGACTTATTTCAAAAATACAACACTGGGGTTTGTGGTAAAGTAAGATTGAATAGGCGAAAGGCATTAGCAGCCAGACTGATTGGCAGATACATAGGGGTGTCAGCTCATAAGGGTTGTCCATCACTTGTCCCAACTGACGACTGTCTTACACAGACACTTGCCTAGTTCCTTTGGAACAAGTTTGTGTCATGTCTGCAACATGAGAGTGAAAAAGAATCAACAAGACACTCGAAGTGGCAAAATATGGCTGCCTAAGACTGTGGAAAACATCTCTGTCTCCCAGATTGTTTCACTGTGTTTCATTTCCTTAAAAATTGCTGTAAAATTAAAATTGTTATCTGTTTAGAAAATCTACAATTTGATGTTGTTTGCTTAAGACATTTTTAGATTGATTGATTTTATGGTTTCAATTTGTGACTTTATTTATTTCAGAACTTTGAACAAAACTAAAGGACAACTGATGAAAAAGACATAGTAGTATTCATACCAAATGTAGCACACTAACCATCCATAAAAATCTAAAAGACAAAAGAAAGAGGCAAGTAACACACATTTTTTTTTTTATTATTTAACAACAATATTGCACATGCTGTTAAGATTTCTTCACTGGTACAGCTATCCCTGTATCATTATATATTTAGTATCAAAAGACCAGGGTATCTTCAGGTATATATATATTCATAATTGTGTTAGTATATATATATTATTTATCATTAATACATTATTTCTTCATTATCTTACTATTATACCTCTAAATAGGAACTTTATATCAAAAACATTAGCTCTTTATGTAATATTGTTAACTATCTGATAGATGTTGAGAGTTAAAAAGAGTAACGGGTTATAGTAGCATTTGGTTTGTGGTTTAATATGTTTCTCTATCATCCGGCTAACGGTATTTTCAGATTCTTGTGTGGATTAATTATTTTCACTAAGTTTTTCTATGCCAAACATAATTGTATTAGCTACAGAAGGTATGTATACGTTAAATTTAGGTATCGGACAGTAAACATGATTTGTATTTCCTCGTATAATCTTTGATTAAAGTATAAAAAACATTTCATCCCTTTAGCAGTGAATTTTTTTTTATTTGTCTATTTATTTCATTTAATTTTTGGAAGTATATTTTTATCTGTATAAATTGATATATATTAGGTGGCAACTGTTGCATGCATGCCTGTTACTTTGTTTAAAATGTCCCTCTATTTGCCATTATGGACAGTAAGGTAATCTAGTGTGATAAATAGTCAGACATTTTGTTCGATCATATTCTATTTGTCATAGATTGGTAACAAGAATTTCTGAAATACCCCCAAGTGACAGTAAAAAAACATAACAGCAAGTATAATACAGTTGTCGACTGACTGTCAATTCCAGTTGAGTTGCTTGAGTTATTTTGTTGACAATGAACTATGCATTGCAAATGGCAGAATTAAATCAGTTGCTGGTTTTTGTTTAATTGTCAGTTGTTTATTAGCTTTCCTATTATTAATGGTGATGTCATGGACATTTACTGTTATTCTTTGTCATGAAACAAAATATTTAATTTTGGTTGAAATCACGAAAAGGGGAACAGTCAGAAGAAACTCTTCCCTTCGCTGCCAATGATTATGTACACATGCACTCATAGAAAAAACATCCGTCTCAGAGCTCAAAAGTTATAATTGCTTCCTTTCATAATCGCTGAAATTACTCCACCACTTTGAACAAGTAAAATACGACTTGACCTTAAAATATTTCACGAAAATTGATGCCAAATAGCGATGATCGTTGTTTGAAGTTCCGAGATAAATTTTCTATGAGCACACGAAACCACTCATGCTTAAAACTGTCTGGCTATACAAACTAATGCTTAAAATAAAAATAATTCAGTACTGAAAGTGTTAAAGCAAAAACTCATACAAAGATCAATGATGTCTTACTTGATGATCTTCCCTTGCTCATCATTTTTACCATTTACAGTTTTTAATTATATATTATAGTTTTAACAAAATATGCAAAAATTGGGTAAAAATCATCATTAAAGGGCAAGACTTACAATTTCCACCATATATATATTTTTACCTCGAGAAGCTGCACCACAAAAGGCTTTTCGGGGTGTGCTAAATTACGGAAAAATGAATCTCACTTCATCATGTTCATTATAAACCCTGAAAAATTTAACCATATATTTGAAAATGTCTCAGCTTAGAAACAAGCCATCATACATATCCAAGTATACAATATGGGCAGAGGAAGTGAGGAAAAGGCTACCATTACCGCCTACCTGAAATGAATTGCGCATCTTTACCCTTTTAGGGCAATAATTTCTAAGGAGCTCATTGACAATTTTGGACTTATAGACATCTTTGCAGATCTCGTCTTGCTGATCATTTTTGTTATTAAAGGTTTCCCTAAATCTAAAATAGTTTTCAAGATAATAGGCAAAAATGAAAAAAAATTCGTAAAATTCTTCATATAAGGGCAATAACTCCTGTCAGTTGTCTGACAGTTTCGATGTAAAACGACAGTAGGTATGTCTCAACATTAGGAACATTTCAGCCTCATCAGATTTTCTCTATCTATAGCAGTTTTCAAGATATTAGAAAAAAACACTTGTATTTTACCTCTATATTCTATTTTTAGCCATGTCAGCCATGTTCAGAGGAAGTGGTTTTTATAAAGGTTAATGAACAGCAGACACCAAGTGATGAGAATAGCTCACTTGGTCCTTTAAGTTAGGTGAGCTAATAAAAGTTATGGCCAGTACACGACTTTATGAGAACAACAAAAACAATTTGGGGAGTTCTATGGAAAAATATCAATATCTGAATTTCTTGAGGATATATATGTGGTGTGTAACTGGACAAATATTTCACTGGTGAACAATATACTATACATCAATGTAGCTATCAATAAAATATATAAAACATATACCACAAAAAAAGTCCTGCTCATTTACCCAAAATATGGCTAATTTATTGCACCAAGTCCAATAAAAATTAAAACCACTGACTTGCAATTGTCTGAATAGAAAAATATCATTGTTTATATCATTGATGAATCTTATATAGCCTTACCTGTGCCAGGATAGCCTTTAATTAATACATAATCTTTGCTCATTAACACCTAGAATAAAAACAAAAATTATTTACAAAGAATAATGTCCAGATGGCTTTGCATTAATATCAATAAAAGCTTGAAAGGCACTGGAAAAGGCATTTTGCCATACACTAAGCAATATAAAATAGAGAATGGAAGCTGGGAATATGTCAAAGAGACAACAACCCGACCACAGAGCAGAAAACAGCCGAAAGCGACCAACCGGTTTTCAACATAGCAAGAAAATCCTGCACACGGAAGGCGGGTTTCAGCTGGCCCCTAAACAATAATGTATACTGGTTCAGGGAAATGGACGCCACACTGTTAACACCGAAACATTCAAATCAACCAAAATTTAAATAAATTGCTTCGCTGAGCGCAGCTGGATACGACCTCAGATGTCCAACCCTGAAAAGTTGGGGCAAAAATGGACACAATATTCATGCTTGATACAGGTCTGAATTTGGATTGTAACTAAATTTTTGACACATAATAGGTTTCTGACACAGAATAACTGTAGTCAAAGAACTTCAAATTGGTTATATGATTTGAATTTATATTCAATTTTTTGCTTTTGTGCAATACACTATGCTGTTGCGAATTGACCCCCCCCCCCCAAAAAAAAAAAATTTTACCCGGGTTTTTTGCTTTTGTGCAATACACTATGCTGTTAAATATTAACCCCAAAAAAAAATAATTTGAAGAAATTTTCTTTTAATTTCTGAAATCTGAAAGGAGAAAAATTGCCCTCCCCTCCAATTTTTTTCCCTCCCCCCTTTCTCCCTTATTCCCCCAAAAAAAATCTTTTCCTCAAGATATGGTCAGTATCTCAATTCAAATTTCAAATGGAGTTTGCAACCATAATTACCCATTTAAATACATCATAAAAGTTTTAAAATATAAAATGACATACATAGTCATGGCTAAAATTAATATTAATTAATAGTAACTGCTAAAAATAAATTGACAGCTAATCACCTCAAGACAATCATCATTTCTTAATACATAATTTACAAGCAATGTAAGGGAGGTAATCAAACAGTGTTCTTTTAATTGATTTGGATTACCTCCCTTACACTGCTTTTAAATTGTCTCAATTGTCCTTTAACCAGAAAAACCCTTGTTTTTCCCCTTTTTTTGCCCCTAGTTACTAATTGGTTTTAACCATAACCCCCCAAAGTCATAACCATCCCTTTGTAGTATGGAAACTTGTGGTATAATTTCAGAGAGATTCATACACTTTAACACAAGTTATTGTCTGGAAACTACAAAAATATAGTATACTAAATTTATTATCCCGAAACCATCTGTCTTCGGACGACGCTGCCGGACGACTACGACGGCGACGTGATACCAATATAAGACCAAAAAATTTTCAATTTTTGCGGTCGTATCAAAACACATAAAATGCATTCATGCAAGTGTTCACCTTTCTTTAACTAGTACAAGATTAGATCCATTATCTTAAGTCACAAGATGATTTCATAACAAATAGCAGTGGCCAAAAAATGATCAGTTACGTTAAAACTCTTTTTCTAGTATGAAATGTAAAATACAATGCTTTAGTTTTCTAAACACAGTCTTTGTGACAGACAGATGTAATGACGTGTGGAGACAAGCAGATAATCCATCTCAGGTAAAACCATAAAATGTCTACAGAAAATGTGGAGCAGGATCTGCTTACCCTCATAGTACATGTGATCACCCCTGTTTTTTGGTGGGGTTGTGTTGCTCAGTCTTTAGTTTTCTATGTTGTGTTTTGTACCTTTCGCCTCTCATTTAGTGCCACTTAAATTGACAGTCAAAACAAATGTGGTATCGTAAATCAGATTTCATTCATAATCATATCGAAATTTTCAGTCTTCATTTATTGTCTCAGATTCGAGCATCATGGTTGATACCCGAGGAATTGCAAGTTTGTGTCATCAAAATCATTCCAATTTAATCTACAAATCATTTTTTAATATTGTACAAAAAGTGCAAAAAGTCTTGCAATCCATATTCATGTACAATCAGCAAACTCTTTTTTCCCAGAGCATTGTTTAGTAATTTGTAAAAAGTCTGCTGTTGTCTTCTACAATTTGAGGTAGTCAACCTATTTTAGATTAAGGCCATATATATAGCCATTGAATAATTGAAAAAGTATAAATTTATTCCCTTCCAAGAAAAGTAATCTGAAAATGTTCCATGTACAAATAATGTTGTAAAATTTTAAACTATTACAAACAGGAAGTAGCTGCATAGCAGATCTAAAAAGTGGTTACATACTATAACTCAACATTATCAAGCAGCACACCAAATATTACACCCTTTCATAAAAGCCAAAAAAACAAGTTTTCTAAACACAGTCTTTGGGACAAACGGATGTAATGATGTATGGAGACAGGCCGTTAATCTGTCTCAGGTAAAACCACAAAATGTCTACAGAAATTGTGTCCTTTTGGTCCTGAGATTCAGTCAAGACTCTTGTGTACCTTGGAAAGACCTACTGGCAGTTGTGTAGCAGTGTCATTGTATGGATTATAAGAAAGGATTAAATATTTTTTTTAAGTCCAAAGGCTGCCTTTATTGCACTATTTTTCCAACTTGATTGATTCATTGCTGTAAAGTAAATTTTCATTTTTGTAGAGATATGTCAAAACAGTGAACTGCAAGATTTCATAAAATTGTAAAATTAAATGAGGCTTAGTTATAAGACGATATTTGATTAAAATTTTTATAAACCAATAGTTATGCTAAGAGTTAACATGAGAAGCGCATGCGCAGATAGAGGTCACTATTCAGAGATATTCAAGTATAATTGAATAAATTTCTGGGTGGGTAATAATGAAAAAGGGTGGGCATGTTAACTCTTAGCATAACTATTGGTTTATAAAAATTTTAATCAAATATCGTCTTATAACTAAGCCTCATTTAATTTTACAATTTGTTATAAACCAATATTATGCAAGAGTTCCCATGAGATTTGAGAGCCAATTTACTTGAATAATGTAATGTATACATGTTTTGTAAGATTACAATAATGTATTGGATTCCCAAATTACTATAAAATTATTTAAAGTTTGGCACAAGAGTATTATATTGAATCATACTCTCAGTAACAATTAGTTATTGTTTCATCGACATACAGATACCATAATAACTGTAGGCAACAAAGCCATATCATAATATGGACTTTGGTAATGATAAACACATTTTCAAATAATATTGTATTAACTTATATACATCATGAACATAGTTACATTATAAGCAAAAACAAAACTATTTTCCACGAAGTACTCGTACACTATAGTTATCATTGTACTCTTGAACAGTAACTGGTCTATTGTAAAATTGCCTAAAAGTAGACTCATTCGTCCATCCTGCTGATTTAAGAATAGAATTTACTGACACTCCAGCTCTAAATGCTGCTGATGTACTAGCTCCCCTAGTACTGTGTGTTTTAAAAATAGAAGTATTTACACCTGCAAGTTTTAAAACCAATTTAATCCAATTACTAATTGTTGATTTTGTAGGATGATGGTATGGTTTTACAAATGTAACAAAAAGTTTTTGAGATGTACGTATTGCAGATGTTCTTTCGAAATAGGCATTTAAAACAGTTACAATACACAGTCTTGAGTCTTCAACAAATGCTGGCAAACATATTGGTGATAAATGTTTTCCTGGTTTTGAAGTTTTCAAAATCTCATTAATTTCAATTATAACATTGTCTTTTGTGATTTTCATAAAATGTAAATCTACACAATGTAAAGTCTGTATTCTCTGTCCAGTAACTAGTGCTAATAACATAACTAATTTCAAAGTTAAACATCTCAATGACAAAACCTTTACAGGCGATAAAGAAATCAAAAATTCTAATACCAAATTAACATCCCATGTTTGCTGATATCTAGGAAACATTGGTCGCTTATTATAAACTCCTCTGAGAAACCTTTTAACTAAAGGCCACTGACCAATTGGCAGGGTTTTCCCCAATGTCAAATATGATGATAACGCAGATCGTGCTGTGTTAATAGCACTATATCCTACGCCTGACTCATATAAAACTGTCAAAAATTCCACTACATCCACCTCAGTTGGCGTAAAAATATCAATCTTTCGTTCACAACAAAATGTACACCATTTTCTGAGATATGTCCAATACTGTTTTTGTGTACTTTGTCTCCAGGATGAGATGACAATTTCTGCAGCCTTTTTTGATAGTCCTGTATTTTGCACAATTTGCCCGACAATCTGAAGACACCCAAAATCAGTTTTTTCAACGGATGTTTCTTTTGAGGGTCTGTTGGCAGTATCAACAACTGTTGTCCTTTTTTCCTGGGTATTATGTAAGAGTCCTGAACAATATGATGCAGTATTTGAGGGAACCAATGTTGAGTGCTCCACAAGGGTGCTATTAAGGTTAATTCTGCTTCTTCCAAAATCAGTTTTTGGATTACTTTTCCTACCATGCTGAAAGGAGGAAAAACAAAAGAGTTAAAGTTAGTCCATCTAATAGTAAAAGCATCTACTGCTTCAGCATTTGGATCAGGTAAGTATGAAATATACCTTGATAACTGATGATTTATCCTTGAAGCAAATAAATCAATATCATGCGGACCATATATTGAATTAATGCACATAAAAACATTATTGTTAAGTTTCCATTCTAGATCTGTATTGTTGGAACGTGACAATTTGTCTGCTTCAACATTGGTTTTTCCCGGTAAGTGACAAGCACTTAACCAAATGTTTCTTTGTATACACCACTGCCATATTTCCCTTGTTAAGTTATTGAGAGACTGAATTCTACCTCCCATTTTGTCTATATAGGTCACAGCTACCATATTATCCATGTATAATCTAACATGTTTATCGGATTTTGTTGAACAAAAACATTTTAATGTTAAAAATGCTGCTTTTAGTTCTAAATAATTTATGTGTAATTTCTGCTCTTCATATGACCAAAAACCCTTGGTTTGAAGTTGTGTATTGTCAACAACACCACCCCAACCAGTTTTTGAACTGTCTGTTTTTAAAATTATCTCAGGATCTGTCCGTACTAACGGCTTGAAACTAGACTCAACATGAGAAATCCACCAATTTAACACATCTACTGATTCATTTGAAATGATAATTTTATTGTCAAAATCTCCATTGTTTTGTTTTAAAAATTTGTCTTTTTGTATTTCTAAAGATTTTATATATATAAGCGCATGTTCAACTCCTGGTTCGGCAGCAATCAATTTGCCTATAATTTGTGCAAACTGCCTGATTGACATTTGTCTGTTTTTTACATATTTACAGCATAAAAGTTTTATTGCTTGCGCTTTTTCAGTTGTAAGTTTAATTGTCATTGTTATGGAATTCAACACAAATCCTAAAAATGTAATTGTTTGTGTCGGTTCAAATACAGATTTGACTGGGTGAATAGTAAAGCCTAATTTATCCAATAAGGTGACTGTATCAGAAATATTAATTGTACATTGTGAATAACTATCACTGATCAAAAGACTATCGTCAATGTAAGCTACATTTTTGTGTCCAATTTTTCTTAGATGTGAAAATGGCACTTTTAAAACTTTTGTAAATATCCTTGGCGCAGTTGTCAGCCCATTAGGCAAACATGTATACTCATACAACTGATCATTCCAATAGAACCGCCAATATTTTTGGTATTTGTGATCAATAGAAATAGAATAATATGCGTCTTTCAAATCAATAGAAGCAAACCAGCAGTTTTTTGACACACATTGTATTGCTGACTTTAATGTCTCCATTTTAAAATGGTGTTTTTCAATATCATTGTTGAGAACTTTTAAATTTAAAATCACTCTACATGTACCATCCTTTTTTGGTCTTATAAAAATATTTGAAACATATTGATTTTTAATATATGTCACTGGTTTTATAATTTGTTTGTGTAAAAATTTATCTATTTCTAACTGCACCATATTTGTTTCATCTGTATTAAATTGTAACATATTTGGTTCCTTGTTTTGTGATGGAATTTGTTCAAACTCAATTTGATACCCTTTTACAACATTTAAAACCCAGTTATCTGAAGTTAAACTCATCCAATTCTCTTGGAATTTAATCACTTTCCCACCAATGAAATTGTCTGGTGTGTTTATAAATTGTGTATTCAATTGCTGAACTGAAGTACTCACAGGCAAACTATTTTGCTTTGGTGATTTTATAGGAACTTCTTGTCCTGCTCTTGGAGCTTCTTTTTGAACTTTTTCTTTTTGTAAGTTGGTTTCCCTAAAAAATCTTTCTTGTTTGATGTTTTGTCAAAATGACGTTTTGGTACATGTACATATGGTTTCTTAAAAGTTTTCTTGTCATCGTGTGATTTCTTTCCAATTTTAAAATTGGTTTTGCCCAGTTTCTTTCCAACTGTATATTCAGCATCCATTTCTTTGACTTTATCTTTGATGTCATTTCCAAAGAGAAAATCAGTTACTGGAACATCATCCTTGCACAAAGCTTTATATTTGGGTTGAATTTCAGCTTGTATCAAAGCTCTTCTTCTGAAAGTTATGTCTGCATAAGTCACTTGTGTCATCTGATATGCGTCTTTACAAAGTTGCGTTGCAGACTGTACTTCTTCTCTAGACAGTCCATCATTAGTTTGTGATTTAGACAGAAACAAGTCCATTAAGTAAAGCATAGGACACGCTGCTTTACCCAATAAGTTTTGAATTTTTTGAAGTTTAACGTCATTCATTCTGTTAGGTACTGACATCTGTGACCATATACCCAAATTAATTTTTGGGACTGTCAAACTGTGTACATTTTCTGGCTTTGCATACTTTTTGGTTAGCTCATCAACTTTGTTTTGCTTGGCCTTCTTTCTCAAGCCATCATTGACAACAGATGCCAGTTCATCATTTATCTTTGGACCAGCTTTCTCTTCAGTTACCATGAAGCCTTTCATATCTTCAATAACAGACATAGTGTCATTCTTTGTATTAGAAGTATGAATACTTGGAGTGCGACTGTGAACTTCTGGTTGTTCTTGTTCGTCAAGTTCAATGTCTGAATTTGAGCTTTCTGACTCATCTTCACTCGATACATCAGAATAAGGGCTTGTTTCCCTTTGGTTCTGTTTGTGGTCTTGAGACTGACACAGTTCTTCTAGTTCTTTTACATAATTTTGTGCTAAAGACTCAGATTGTACTCGTGATCCCTGTCCGTGACCACTTTCACATCTTTGTTTTTTGGAACTTGACGGTCTTACATGTACGTCATCACCGGCAGTGACAGTACATGTACGTTTGCCATGTGTCTTTTTCTGCACTGGTGTGTCAGTTCTTTGGTTGTTCAACAAAGCTTGCGTAAGTAATTGTGTCTGTATCAGCAGTTGATACATATCCGGACATTGTTTGTCAACATCCGGTATTTGGTTGATTGACACATGTGACAATGGAGCTCCGCCCCCTACGGACAAATTGTCTACATTTTCAAGTCTAGCTTCATAAACTATTTCATCATTGGAAGCTTTATCATTGTTGCAGTGTTCTTGATTTACTTCATAAAAATGAAGCAATCTACTGTCATTTGAAGAATGTCTTTCCATTTTGGAATGTTCTTCCTTTTCATCCGCCATTACGGTCGGACATTTAGACAGTCACACTGTGGTCACAAGAACGACCTCGACCGCAGTCGTCAGTCTTAATAATGTTCAAGGACCTATAACAGCAAACGTTGCTGATCACTGTTCATCCATTGAACATAATAATAAATCCAATTAAAGAAGAATATATTAAAAACTTTCAATAATAAGTTTCTAAAATTTCCACGTGTTAACCTCTTAAAATCTGCTAACGCAGTGACCTCTATCTGCGCATGCGCTTCTCATGGGAACTCTTGCATAATATTGGTTTATAAAAAATAGGTATTTACTATCATAATGGACCCATTTATACCAGCTTGGATATAAAAAATTCATAAAGAATTTTGCGGAACCCTGTGTCTAGCCTGCAGTTCCTGCTATCAGTGTAATATTGATTGTAAGAAGTGAGTCCATTTATCAGTAAAATACAGAATAAAAAAAATCATTATTTTTCTTCATCTTCAAAGGGGCATTAGCTCCGGTTTAGACAAAATTTTAAAATACAATTCTTTTTGTTTCAAGAATTAAAAAAAGAACAATGTCCCCTGTGTTGCACATATTTTATCTGTCCAAGGGCTGAATAACTTAAAAAAACTTCTATAAATATCTTTAGAGAAATGAAAGTTTGAGACCAAATGCAATGCAATTTCCTATATAATTAATTTTCCAAGGGGCATAACTCTTTTAAAAGTATTTGATCGGCACAGTTTTTAGAACTCGTCCAAGACATTGCTAATATAAACCTATGATATAAGTTTCATAAAAATCTGGAAAGAATTGTACAAATTTTTTGGGAATTAAAGAACCTTAGTGAGCACGCTCACATACCTCACATACCCACATTGTCATTGGAGAAATTAAATAAGTGTAACAAAAAAAAATTGTATAAGAAAAAAATTGAATAATAATTTCCTGTCAATATGCACATCTACATAGTATGTCCTTCTTATCTACAAAATTTCATGAAATTCTGTTGTGTGGTTTCAGAAGAGTGGAGATGACAAACTGTTGCAGAAGTACATTGAAGCAAATAAGTTCAAAGGGGCGTAACTCCTAGAAAAAAAAAAGAATCGTAATTTCCTGTCGATATGCACATCTATGTAGTATGTTCTTATTATCTACAAAGTTTCATGAAATTCTGTTGTGTGGTTTCAGAGGAGTTGAGATGACAAACTGCTGAAGTAGTTCCTTAAAGCAAATAAGTTCAAAGGGGCGTAACTCCTAGAAAAAAAATTGAATCGTAATTTCCTGTCGATATGCACAACTACATAATATGTCCTTTTTATCTAAAAAGGTTTCGTGAAATTCTGTTGTGTGGTTTGAGAGGAGTTGAGATGACAAACTGTTGCAGTAGTACATTGAAGCAAATAAGTTCAAAGGGGCATAACTCCTAGAAAAAAATTGAATCGTAATTTCCTGTCGATATGCACAACTACATAATATGTCCTTTTTATCTAAAAAGGTTTCGTGAAATTCTGTTGTGTGGTTTGAGAGGAGTTGCGATGACAAGAACAAGAATTGATATAAATTTGAAAAAAATCTGGCAAAAATTGTGAAAGCACTTACAATCCAATTTTCCATATCTATATTACTAAATGAATAGAGTTTAAATTGGGTGTCGCGTTTTCTTCTTTCACATAGAATCCACGAATATTGTTTTATACCACAAAGGGATAATGACCAGCGTAGTTTATTATGTGTTCATTTCAAGATCTTTTGGTGGGTATTTGGGGGTTAAAATCGGAAAAAAGCCAGTGCGGATCGACCATCCTTCACAACATTCTCCTCTGAAATTTACGTGTCGTCATCATTTCCGTCATTGCACGTCTGCCCGGCAAAATTAAATTTTATTTCGTAGCAGAAACGGTAAATATTGACCTTACACTGAAACACTTTGTGATACACATTCCCTTGACGCTCTCAGCAATTAAACAACAGATTTTTACACATCAAGAGCTTTTCCTTCCGGGGAACTGCATCAATTCAACATGAAAAGGGTGGGCGGATTACTTCAGTTTTCGGTTAAAAATGAGTACCAAAGTGCGGCTGGAATGTGACCCACCCCCATTCATATATTAATGCATAAAATTTTCAGCCCACTCATATATGGGGGTGGTTCTGAGCAAGGAAACACCAGAAATCAGGTGCGGATCCAGGATTTAATATTAGGGGGGGGGTGCAAAAAATATTGTTCTGCGGAAAGGAGCATATTGCGAAATATTTTTGGGTAAATTAGCAAAAATTTAGGTGCCGTCATCATTTCTGCTTTGTCTGCAAGTATTATGGTCTGCTCAGCAAAAAATATACCCTAAAGGGTGGGGGGATTACTTCGGTTTTCGGTTAAAAATGGGTACAGAAGTGCGGCTGGAATGTGACCCCCATTCATATATATATTAATGCATAAAAATTTTCAGCCCGCTCATATATGGGGGTGGTTCTGAGCACGGAAACACCAGAAATCAGGTGCGGATCCAGGATTTAATGTTAGGGGTGGTGCAAAAAATACTGTTCTGCAGAACGGAGCATGTTGCGAAATATTTTTGGGTAAATTAGCAAAAATTTACGTGCCATCATCATTTTTCGCTTTGTCTGCAAGTATTATGGTCTGCGCAGCAAAAAGTATACCCTAGAGGGTGGGGCGATTACTTCGGTTTTCGGTTAAAATTGGGTACAGAAGTGCAGCTGCAATGTGAACCCCATTCATATATTAATGCATAAAATTTTCAGCCCACTCATATATGGGGGTGGTTCTGAGCACGAAAACACCTGAAATCAGATGCAGATTGACCTTACACTGAAACACTTTGTGATACACATTCCCTTGAGGTAATTTAACAACAGATTTTTACACGTCAAGAGCTTTTCCTTCCGGGGTACAGCAGCAATTCAACATGAAAAGGGTGGAGGGATTACCTCGGTTTTCAGTTAAAAATGGGTACAGAAGTGCGGCTGGAAAGTGACCCTCACCCATTCATATTAATGCATAAAATTTTCAGCCCACTCATATATAGGGGTGGTTCTGAGCACGGAAACACTTGAAATCAGGTGCGGCTCCAGGATTTGAGGGGGGCGCAAAAAATATTGTTCCACCGAGAGGAACGTGGTGCGAAATCCTTTTGGGTAAAAATGGCCAAAATTAAACCAGGGTTCTAATAGAATGGTGCAAACAAGATATTTCATCAACAAAAAAACATGTGATCAAAATTGGTAAATTAGCAACAAATGATTTAAGATTTCAGTTTAAAAAGGTGTAAACGAGATAATTTGCCAATTGGAGGGAGGTGGAAAAAAAAAATTGTGATTAAATTTTCGGAAAATCAAGATTTCTTACTCCATCTGTATTTAATCCAAACTGAAAATTGAGGTTTTTTTTTACTATTTCTTAAAACATTATAGGTTTGACAGCAATAAACCAAATACCAAATAACTTTGTAATTTGTAAAAACAGTATATAATATAGATAAAAGGCAAGTTTTATGACAATCAAAGTTGATTTGACAAAGTTATAGAAATTTTTAAAGGTGACCATCTGTATTTAATCCAAACTGAAAATTGTAGTATTTATTTACTATTTCTTAAAACATTATAAGTTTTACAGCAATAAACCAAATATCAATATAAAATAATGGGGAAAAAGGGAGAGGGGTCAACATTTTTCTAAAACTTTCAGGAGGGGTCACTCATTTTCTGCAGAAATGGAAAGGGAAGGTCAGGTGTCATATTGAGTGGTGGTATTTCGTCTGTGACACGCTTCAAAAAGATTTAAGATCTTAATATCGCCTTACACCAAAACTATATATCTTCAAATTATGAACCAAAGTATATTTCGCGGGTATTTTCTAGTAATTCTTATACAGGTAAAAACGATGATTAACATTTTTTCAACCTATAATATGAAATCAAACAGACCTAGAAAAACCCAAATGCACATGCTCGATATCTATTTATATTCATGTTTATATTGGGTTATATGACTGTCGGCAGTCTTCAGAGGTCATCTTGATGATTAATTAGATGGCGTGTAGACTAAACTACTCAGGAAATGCTGATACATATTATTGATTCCATGCATTGTTTATTGTTTATTTTAGAATTTTTGTAATTTGGATATATGTTTAAGTATGTTGTAAATCAAATATGAGAATTTGAGTAAAATCGGTGAACATAAATTTGACAGCTTATACTCTTTTAAGATTAGCTTCTGACTCTACTCATTAAATGCAAATGTTGGCAATACAGACCATGACACTGACACCATTGGCTCCATTGCTGATGATGGATTCTAGGATCGCTTTGTCTCTCTTTAATGAAATAAATGTTGCATGCTAGACAAAAATGACATCTACCTTTTGTTTACAAGAACCAGTAAATTTATATGATCTGTAATTTGGTATATACCGTTTATCTAAAAATTTACTGATGTAAAAATAGTAATTTAATCAATCCAAACACACAAGACATTAATATGCAATTTGCCATGCTTTACATATATGGTTTAGTATCTCTACTGTATTTTAGAGGTTTGGGGCAGATTACCAAGGCAAAAATTGGGTTAAAATTTTGCAAAAACAGTCTGTTTGCATTTGGAGTAGGTATAACAATAAGAAAATGTGTTATGATTGCAATGAGACAACTCTTCACAGGAGACCAAATGACATAGAAGTTAACAACTATAGGTCACCTAGCTTTCAACAATGAGTAAAACCCATATCGCATATTAACCTATAAAAGGCCCAGAAATGACGAATGTAAAACAATCCAAACAAGAAAACTAATGGCTTGATTTATGTAAAAAACAAATATGATATATAGCAACAAACAACAACCACTGAATTACTGACTTGGGACAGGCACATACAGAATGCGGTGGGGTTAAACATGTTTGCTAGTGTGAAACCCTCCACTAACCTGGGACAGTGTGTCACAGTATAAAGTAACAGTATAATAATATTACTCCCATAATGAGTCTACTAACGATTTCGTCAAAATTCAACTTACTTGTAGATCTGGTCTTACTGATTGTGTTTGCTTTTTAAATTATCTATCTTTAAAGGTTTGAAAGGTACATTTGTAATAGGCCAAACTAATTGGTAATAAATGGAGAATGTGTCCTTGGGACACAGATGATGCCCCCGCTTGCATATAACGTTATAAAGGGACACAACTAGAGAAGTGTAAAAGTGATGCCTACAAAGTTCGAAATTGATCTAGTTTTGTGGTAATAAGCATTGTGTATAAGTTAC